TTATAGTAGATTGGGTTAAACTGAGAAGAAAAGTTATATAAAATTTTACAAAATCGTAATTATTATCGGCCTAATTCAGAAAAACGTCTGAGCCAATAAGTGCACGGAGGAGCGGAAGGCCGGACTCGGCAGCATGCAAAATGGTGTGTTTGTTGACATCTCTCAAAAAACGATAGCGAACGCGTTCGCCCGCTTACCGCTCCCCGCTCCCCGCTCGCCACCGTCTCTCATCGATCGATGCGTGACTCCACCTCTCGCTATCGATTTTTCAGAGATGTCAACAAACACACCATTTTGCATGCTGCCGAGTCCGGCCTTATTGGCTCAGACGTTTTTCTGAATTTGGCGATAATAATTACGATTTTGTAAAATTTTATATAACTTTTCTTCTCAGTTTAACCCAATCTACTATAATCTTTGGGGTCGTCCATATCGAATCTGACACCCTGTATAAGCCTACGACATATCATTTGTAACACTATAATAATGTGCTTATAGAAAAACACAAAGCATACATGCGCTCTCACACACACACACGCGCACACGCACACGCACAGAGAGAGAGAGAGAGAGAGAGAGAGAGAGAGAGAGAGGGAGAGAGAGAGAGGGAGAGAGAGAGACAGACAAGATACACATGTCACTTGATATAACTTAACATAATTTTACCTTTTAAGTCCACACTAACTTCGTTCCATAAGTCATCTTTTTGTTTTCTTCCTCTTTGCTTTAATGGTAAGCGAAAATCATATAATGCGGGTTTATTTTTTACAGCTGCAATGAGATCCTCGTCCAGTCTATCTTTATCATTTATACTTTCTTCGATAGTCTCATTTTCTGCAATAACTATATTTATTCACAAAATAATCTATACAATTTATTAACAATATATTAGACAAGTTTATATACCTGTTGTAAAAGTGGTGTCTCCGCTTTCTGCTAGTAGTGTGTGTAGATCCGTATTTGCAAAGCAAGAATGCTGTGCCAGCTGATCATATTTTAATAACCAACCACAATTTCCACACTTATATTCCTAAAAATTAAAATATATATTACTTGTTATCAATACGTAGCACTTTGTGTTGAGTAGGTACATACAATATAATGAATACTTTACCATGTTGTGTGAAACGATTATAAAATGTTATATCACTACGATAATTTCTGAGCATCACTTCACACACAGATCTTTACAGGTTATGTATTATCCGTTTTCGTTCCGTTCCGCTAAAATGGCTGCCATGGGGAACCCGGCTATGAAAAAGC